ATCTTGCAAATTCATATTTACACCTTAAAAAAAAAAAAATTTTTTTGCAATAAATAATATTATGTGCAATAAAAACAAAACTAAAATTATCAATAATATTAAAATTAAACATAATTTCCAGGGCATTATTAGATTTAATAATCATCAAATTCAAATTTTTAAACTTAATAAAAGTATCAAATATCTTGAAATGTTAATTTAACACAAAAACTTTTATAGGTTCAACAGAAAAAAATTTATTTAAACAATATTACAAGTTATTAAAAAACTTTTAAAATATAATTAAAAAGAAAAAATTAAGTAACAAATTAATTATTAAATTATTATGAATAAAAATAAGTTTCTAAATTATTTAGCTTATAAAATTTTATAGATTAATTGTATCTCTTTTAAAGAGACAATTAATTAATTATTATTTTAATAAAAAAATAATTCAAAAAACACTTGAATCAAATAGTTTAAATTATAAAAAACCTTTGTAAATAGTTTTTTTTGATCTTATATTTTTTAAAAAAAACTTTTTTAATAATAAAAGATATTTAATTTATCTTTAATTTAAAAATCTATTTTTTATTCTTATCATTCCTTAACAAATAACTCTTAAACTATTTCAAATCAAAATTAACAAACTAATAAAACCAATATACAAAATCTTTTTCAAATATTTTAATACAATTTTAACAAGCCATAATAACTTTAACCTAATATTATTAAATGAAAAACAAAAAATTATACTAATAGATAACCTAATATCCAAACTTTTTATTTTATTTATCAAAAAATATACAATATATAATATTTATTTCATCTAAATAAAAAAAGAAATCTAATTGGATTCTTTATATAGCAAAATTAATTAAAGATTTCAAAATTCAAATATGTTTAACAAAATGTTTATTTCATCTCAATAATATTGAAAATTCAATTGGCCTTTTATTTTATACTTCAATTTCAACATAAAAAAACAACAATTAATATAACAAATGTTTACAATATAAATTTTATTAATCAATTACTAAAATTCTAATACATTACTAAGTTTATATAATTATAACTTGTTATTTATATAAATATAATTTATTTTGATTCAGAGTCTAATTGATTTAAAGCATTTACAAATATTAAAAATTTAAAAGAATTTTACAATTTAATTCTAAATTCCAGATAAATATTTTAGTTTCTTTACAATACTAATATAATAGTTAAAACTTGTAAAAGATATTAATTAATATATATATAAATACTATTTAAAAAAAAACACTTTACAATTGATCCTAACAATAATTTATTCAAATATTTAGACTATCTAATTAGTTTACTCTCTTATAGTTTTTGTTGATTAAAATTTATAAACATTTCTATCTCAATATTATAAATATTATTTAATCTATTTAGTAGTTAAAAATATTGCTTGCTTAATATAATAGATAAAATTTTCAAATTATTACAAAACAGTAAACATATTCTATAAGAAATTAATATCTCTACTATTTTCCTTTCTTAAATTTTATTACAAGAAATTAATTCACAATAGTATATTTATATCAGTTTTATAAAAATAACTTAATAATAAATAATATTAAAATTAAATCTCTTGTAAAAGTTTAAATATACTGTAACAGTTTAAACAATAAGTTGTATTCAAGTCAAAAATAAAGCTACAAGTTTTAAGAAAGATAATTATTTTATTAACTCAAAAACAAAAATATAATCTGAGTTTTTACAAAGATAAAAAGATCACCTTTAAATAACTATTCCCTATTATATAAATAATTTATAAAAATATATAAATAGAAATATATATTATTAATACATAAGTTCTTATTGATTCTTCTAGAAGGTTTTATATATTATAAATATAAAATAAAGAAAAATATTAATATAATAAATATTATATATGCTTAATAATAATGTTCTATTTTTCAAATAAGTATAAAAATAATAAACACAATATTAATAATATATGATTAATAATATTATAGAAGATTCCAGAATGTTCTACAATGTTCTAGAAAGTTCTGAGATATTATATAGTATTCTGAGATATTCCAGTATATCTTAGAGATTTTTGGTTACATGGTATATGGCATAATAAAATCAGAAAAACTATTACACCTCTCAATTCATATTTATTACTAAATAATATTTTATTTATAATATTTGATATTATTTTATAGAATTTATATTGCAATTTTATTAAAATCAGAAATAACAAAAAAATTCTCCAATCAGTTTTTAAATATCTTTGAAAAATAATAAAAATTAACTTTTTTGTATTAATTCAAAAAATAAATTAATAATTATAACAAAAGTCTATACAAATTATATATTTCAAATTCAAATTCAAATCAGTATTAACTAAATTATTTAGTGAAACAATTTTTTACCACCCTTTTCAAAAAATTTATTAATTAATAATATATGCTTTAATAGTGATATTTAAGGATTCCAATGATTCAGTTTGATTCAATTTGATCATTTATTTTTATATTTATATTAAATTTAATATATAAATTATAATTTACTATTAGTGTTTTGAATTTTATTTAAGTTTATACAAGTCTATTCAATTTTAATTTTTAGAATTATAGTAATGTTAGATAATATAAAAAAAGTTTTTAATTTAATCAAAAATTATATAATTTGTAAAAACTTTTTAATTATTTAAAATTTTAAATACTGTATATATATATGTTATATGATTTAAAAGTTATTAACAAATCCAATAAGAATATTAAAAGATTATATAACAATAATTATAGTAATTTAATTATATTTATAATCAAATCATTATTAAAAATCTTATTTACTTATTAAATATTTCATTAATTATTTCTAATCAATATTCAAATGTTTTGTATTCAAGATATAAGTTTTGTATCAAAAATATTTTACACATTTTTAAATATTCTAAAATCTTCAAAAAAGTTAAACAAATTATTAAAATCATTAATTAAATTCTTTAATCAAATAATAATCAAAAACTAATTATATATATATAATAAATTATTAAATTATCTTATAATATTTTAAACAAAATCTTTTTAATATTAAACTTTTTTAACTAGGTTAAGATAGCAATTGAAATTATAACTCGGTTATATAATTCAATTTGAAAACTATATTTCTTTATAATTAATATCTTATTATTTATTGAAATTAAATAGATAATATAATAAACAAAAGGCATATATTCAATTTTCTTAATCAAGATCCTTCTTATATTTGGGTATACAAACTGAATTGTATCTCATCTTAATCAAATTTCAATCTTCTCCTTTCAATGATGGTTAGAATTTTAACTAGAATATCTCAATACAGTATAGATCCTAATTGGTTTGGAAAATAACCAGCCACAGGTGATAAGAAGGATTATAATTTTGTAGAAGATGCTATAGGCTAGTAAGGATATAATTTAAGGTTTGGTAATAAGGTGAAGAGGTACTTGAACTAATCTCCTTAATCAAGTCATCTCTGGATAAAGCTGAATTATATAAGTTAAGTAATTTAAACTAGTGGTAAAATTTCTATATTCTATAGATTTCTATCTAATATCACATAAGAAATTATTAAAGGTGATAAGTTTTTGGGTGTTATATATAAGGTAAGTGTGGAGAATAATCTGTATAGAGTATATAATTTACTGACTTGTATAAGTCCTAACATTGCAATTGTAATTGGTATAAGGTACTTATCAATAAAAAACTTTGCAAATATCACATTTATATCTTAAAAAAAAATAAAATTATAAATCTTTTAGTAAAGATAAATTAATTTTAATTTTTTGTAAATATAAAAATAATAAGAACTAATAATTAATCAAAAGATTGTAATATTAATCTGATATTAATTATTATTAGTAAAAAACAAAAACTTTAAAAAATAAAATATTGTTTTTAATTTAAAAATAAAAAATATAATTGTTTTGTATAGTTTATATAAGGAAATGGTCTTCATATAAAAAAAATTTTTTTTTGTTTGTATTTTTTGTTTCAAATTATTATTTGATGCATTAGATATCTTAAAGTAGACTATTGTTAAAATTTTAAAAACCAATTCAAACTTTGAAATTCTTACTGTTCAAAATTAATTCTTTGGTCTATATTCTTTTTTCAAAAGATATGTTTCACCAAACAAAGTTTTTTGAAAAAGAAAACTTTCCAAAAAAACAATTTCTACAAATGAAAATATTATAAAAAAATCAATAAATTTAATATAAAAAATAAATAAATATGTTTTGTCTCCTATAGATATTAAACCAAAAATATATATTTGAAAACCTAGAAACACTATCTACTGTACTATTAATCTATATATTATTATATAATTGTTATTTAAATTTTTAAAAAATTATATCTTATAAATTAATTAAAATTATAAATAACAATTAATATTAATATAATACTTTTATGGTTATTATATCAATAATCAATATTATCCAGTTTCATCTCTTTTAATACTAAGTAGATATTTGTAACTACTTGATATTGCCTAACTGAATATATTGTTTTAAAATTTCTTTTCAATATTAATTATAGATAAGTTAGCATTTAACTTATTATATTAACATATAGAAGATATTGTTTTTTTATAATATATGTCTTATAACATACAAAAAAAAAATAAAAATATATAATAGTAAAAAATATTTTATCATAAAAATATAAAATAAAATTGATTTAATTTTAAAAAAATATTCAACAGTTTTATCGATATTAAAATAATGCTATGCTGCACAGAAAAGCGTTTTCATACTCATTCCACTCATGAAAAGTATAAAATTTATGGTCATTAAAGCGTTCAGTTTACTGATCCAAATATTATTTGGTAAAGTTCCGCCTTTATAATGATTCATAAACAAATGTTGAATTTTATTTCGTAAGATTTTGGCCAACTTCTTTACACGATTACGTAATAATGTATGACAAGAATTTTTCCGAAAATTCCCGGTTCAAACCCAGTACAAAAGAAAAATTTTTGGTTAAACCATCCCGCTCAAAATGTCGAATCCTACAATTCCTTCGGGATGCCCTATGCACGGAAAAACTTCACAATCTCCTCAGAATGAATCGAATAACACTAATAGACGAAATAATTCGTCGCCTGGAACTTGTCCGGTTATTCATTCAGGTGATGCTTTGTCACCGGATAATCAAATGCCAACTCTTAGTCAAGAACTATTGCCAGGTCAAAAGACAATACTTCCGACATCTCGAGTAATTTCTTCAATACCAAAAGCTCATAGTTCTGAAAATTGGGAATATCCATCTCCGCAACAGTTTTATAGAGCGTTAGTTAGGAAAGGATGGGTTACTCCTGAGGAAAGCATTGAAACTATGGTGGATATACACAACTTTCTAAACGAAGAAGCTTGGAATGAAATTCTCAAATGGGAACGTCGGAAGAATTGGTAGATTCCTTAAGAATTTATTACTACATGTTTATTTATTTGTTATTTTTCTTTCTCCATTGATTCATGACGATAGAAGGTATGACTTTGCAAAAATAAAAAAATAAAAAATTTATATCAACGTTGGCATGTCATTAATATCACACACACTCCTCAGAAACCAGTTATATCTTACTGAATCATATCGAATTATTTGGTTTAAATACGCTTTATGGCGAATAAATATCAAGTTAACCTTAATTAATTATTGACATTCTTATTTAGTATGTGCGATGAACCTAAATTATTACGATTCCGTGGAAGACCACAGGAGCTGAGTCCAAAAGCGCAAATTCTACAATGGGCGGGAAAATTGTTCCCGTCATTAGGGTAAGAATTATTAAAAAAATTTTTAAAAAGTAATTTACACATACCCTGTATATAATTTGATTTTATTCATCCTAGTACGCCGCCTCCTTTTGACCGTCACGATTGGACAATTGATAGATGTGGTCGAGAAGTGCGTTATGTTATTGATTATTATGCAGGTCCAGATGAAGGTGACAAGCCTGTTTTTTACCTCGACGTGCGGCCAGCTTTAGATTCTTTTGATAGCGTTGTTGATCGAATCAAGGTGGCCACAAAAAAAACTTTTGAGCAATTTAGGGAAAGGGCAAAAACTGCGATTTCAGATATAGGCGATGATCGTACGTGATACAATATGCAGGTCACGTAATAATAAAAAATCGTTCAGCCTAAGCTTTACATAAACTACTCTTTGCATAAGAAAAATAGAAAACTTATTTATAATAATATTTGTACCTTACGTTTTTACGCTTATATTTACGTTTAGAAAACTTTGAACGAAAAATTCCTTAATATCTTTAATTACGTATTTAATAGGTCAGTCTCATTATTGATACTCGTGTAACTATTACATGAATTTAGTGTTTTTTAATTATCATTGCCAATTCAAAAAATTAAAAATTAAAAATTTATATATAATTATGTTATTATAAATATATTTTAATGCTTTTTGGAGGGAGCATTTAAATTAATCAAGTAATTATTTATATATAAATAATATTTTTTTTTATAATTAATTTAAAAAATATTTATTTATTTTACATATTGCTTTTTTCTTTATTAAAAAGCTTATCTTTAAATTTATAAATTCATATTATAATAATAATATCTTTATAGACTATCAGAAATAAAATCATATTATTTTTATATATCAATTATAAACTTTTAAATTAAATTTTAGAAAAAATTTTTTATTTAAACTTTTTAAAATAAAGAAAAAAAGTCTTAATAAAAAGCCTATACTTATTGTTTTAGAAAATCTTTAGCTTAAATAAAGTTAGCAGTTTGGCTAAGATAAAATAATAATAAAATAATAACAAATTAAAAAATTAATGAAATAAATATAAAAAAAAAAGATCTATAAAAAAAATCTTCAAAAAAAAAATTGTTCATTAGTAAAAAGATGATTTAAAGAAAGAAAAAAAGTAAAAATAAATAAAACAAATTGTTTTCAAGTCTATAATTATCAAACATATATAGAATATTATAAGAAAAAAGTTAATTCAATTTCAAAATCTTTTTTATTCTTGTTTTAGACTATTGATATACAAGAAATAATCTGTTTATACTTTCCTAAACAAAAATGTTTTTTTGAATATATTAACTAATACTATATACATATTTTTTGAAGAATAATATTTAATAATTAAAGAAGTCTTATATAATATTAACATATTTTAAACTCATCTTACCATAAAATTTTATTTTTAATTAAAAAAAAAAAACAAAAAAAAATTTTTCTAATAAAATAAAAGTAAATAAAAAGAATTTATTTAATTATTATTATTATATATATATGTATAAAGAAAAAAATTATATTAAAAAAAAAAACAATAAAATAATTTTTTTTAATATTTGATTTATTATTTAATATTTTTATTTATCTTAATATATTTTAAATATTTTTTTTAATATTATATAATTCATAAATATAATATAGTAACAAATTTATCAATTATATATATATATATATATTGCCTCTAATCAGACTACAATTGTTGTGTTTATTAATTTTCATATAAATAAAACAATAATATATTGAATTTTAAGATTTTATACTAAAGCTAAACTATTTATATTATAAAATATCTATTGATAAGTTATTTTTAGATTTGTATATAATCTTTAAATCCTTAATATCAAGACCATTGTATCGCCTACATGATTTAGCTATTTACTAACTATTTCACTACAAGAGAGTTGATTCATTAAGCTATTACTATATGATATTAACTATCTTAAACTTTTCAAATCTTAACTCTCTAAGTATAATTATGAAGAATAATAAAATTATTTCTTTTAAAAAAAATCATAGTCAGCCTACAGTTAGGCTGTTACTCTACACAAACCTGTGATCCTAAAAAATAAAAAAAAATTTATTTTTTAAAAAAAAAAAGAAAAGTGAAAAGAGTAGAAAAAAAGTTTGTTTTGATAAATAAAAACTCTCCAATATCAACTTTGATCTATTTAAATAATCATTTACTATAACCTGCAGTCAGGTGAATTATTTAATTTCTACCATTCTCTTGCTGACCAAGAATATTCAAGATACTTATTACAAGTAAAGATGGGTTCCTAAATTAAAGGCGAGGACATAATTCAAATGTCCCTCACTATTTCAAAAGTTTTTTTTTAAATATAAGATCAAAAAAAAACTATCTACAAAGGTTTTTTGCAATTTAAGCCACTTAATCCAAGTGTTTTTTGAATTATGTCCCTATTAAAGTAATGAATAAA